TTTTTTTTTCGCTTCGATTTTAAATAATTCAGAAAATTCATTCACCATTCGTTGATTTTTTTTACTAATCGCTTTGCGAAAAGTATTGGAACGAGAATAGCTAATGCCGGTAAAAGCATGAATCATTTCCATAATTTGTTCTTGAAAAATAGGCAATCCCCTTGTTTCTTTCAAAATTGGTTCAAATTCCGGTACTAAATAAGTAATCGGAGTTTTTTTGGATGAGCGAGATAGATAAAGGTGAATGTTTTGCATTGGCCCCGGACGAAAAAGAGAAATTGTATGGGCTAATTCTTCCAGTTTAGAAGGTTGAATTTTTTGAATTAAGTTTGTCATACCGGGAGAACTTAACTGAAAAAGACCTTTGGTTTGTCCGTTTCGGAGAAATTGATAGGTTTTTGAATCATTTAAATCAATTTGCATCATATATTCATTTTTTTGTTGAGTAATTCCGATTTCACTGAGTAATTCCGAAATCATTGTTAGATTACGTAATCCTAAAATATCCATTTTAATTAATCCTAATTGCGGTAATTTTTTCATATCCATCTGAGTAATTACATGGCCTTCACTATCTTTTCAAGTACCAACAAAACTACGTAAATCAAAATTAGGAATAATCACTCCTCCGGCATGAATACTTTGTTGACGAGGAAATCCAATTAAATGACGAGCAATTTGAAATAGTTTGGGATACTGAATTTGATATTTGGTTAATCATAGAGATTTTTCAATGGCTTCATCTCATTTTTCATTGAGTTGCGCCGGAACCGATTGACAAATCGCATTCATGGTCGCCATGGGCATTTGTAAAACTCGCCCGACATCCCGTAAAGCTAAGCGAATTCCCATTCTTTGAAAAGTACAAATAATTGCCGTATGATAAGGTGCATATTTAGCAAATATATATTTTAAAATTCGCGGGCGATCGCGATCTTCAAAATCCAAATCAATATCCGGCATATCCTGACGTTCTAAATTTAAAAAACGTTCAAAAAGTAGTTTAAATCTTATCGGATCAACTTTAGTAATTCCGAGTAAATAACAAACTAAACTACCCGCTGCGCTACCACGTCCCGATCCAAAAAGTATATTTTCTCGCCGAGCGAAGGAAATATAATCATGAACAATCAAAAAGTATTCTACAAAATTTTTTTTTTCAATCATTTTCATTTCAAATTCATAACGATCTCAATAAACTTTTTGCTTGGAAAAACGAAGTTTTAATTGTGTTTCACACATTTGACGAATTTTTTGAGTTTGTTTATTTTTCTCAATCAAAGTTTTCTTTTTTATTTTGTCGGCGGAGTAATTTGTAAAATCTAATTTAATTTGAGATACAAAATGTTCTCAATGAGAAAGCAAGGAATAATGGTTTGATTTTTTTTTGATTGTTTCTTCGCTTCAATAATGTTGAGTGTCGTTCGATTCAAAATTTACATCGGCGTCTTTGATTTTGCAAACTGTTTCATAAATTTCTCTCTCGGAAACAAAAAGATAACGAATAGAATAAAAAATTAATTTTCGAGTTGAGGGAATAAGATTTTTTCAAGCCTCAATCGAAATTTCGGGAGAAGTAATTCCATAATAAATATGAGAAACAAACGAATCCGTAATTTTTTGAAACTGCTGAATTTGATGTTCCGTAATTGAAGAATTCAAACTAAAAACAATCAATAAATTTTTCATTCACTTTTGAATTTCGGTTCATTGAATGATGGTTTGATTCTTTTCCATTAATTGAGAGGAAATGCGGAGTAAATTTTGTCAACCATTTAAATTTTTCGCAAAAATAGTAATTTCATAACTTTGATCGGCAAATTGACAGCGAGTAATCGTTAATCCTAAAACAGGTTTGAGATTTTTTTTTTGTGCATCAAGAGCAAAATTCAGTAATCCAAAAACTGAGTGAGTGCTCACTAAAGAAGCATAAGCAATTTTTTGATCTTGTAAAAATTTCAGATAAGATTGAGGAGAAATTGTCGAATTCAAAAAATCAAAATACGAATAAACTCTTAAATGTCCAACATTTTTCAAGCCGGCGACTCCTTTCTCAACAAATCAAGTAATTTATCAATTACACTTTTATATTCATATTTAACAAAAAGAGTTTCAATATTGAGCATTTTATTTTTAAAAAAATCGTTGAGAAAACGATATTGATTTGCTTTTACTAATAAAGCTTCGGAAATTTTTCGTAAAAGAACTTTATTTTCAATATTCTGTTTTAAATTGTTAACCATTGTATTTAAACGACTAAATTTTAAATTCAAGGTTAGAGTGTCTTCTTTTGTTGCTGGTGATTGGGCTCTTTTAAACTCAATAAATAAAGTTTGAATTTGTGCCAAATCTTTCGCAAAAAAATAATTTAAATATTGATATTCTTTCTTATTCAATAAAGTTTCTAAATTAATTAGAGAAAAATATAAATTTTCATTACGATTTTTTTCGGCAATGAAGAAGTCAACCATTTTAATGTAAATTTGATATATTTCTTGTAAATTAGCAAAAACTCGCTGAGTTTTTTTTAAAGTTTCAAAGAAAAATAAATGTTGATCAATTTTTTGCTCAATAATGGTTAACTGAGTGATTAAGTCATGAGTTTTATTTAGTTTGTTTCTAAAATTTCGAAATTCAATGTTTTTATGCGATTGAAAAAATACCGATTTATCAAAATGTTCAATTGATAAATTAAATTGATTAAAACGACTTTTAATAAATTGAAAATTTTTTTGCGCGATTTGAAGTGTTTCCAGAAAAGTTTTTTTCAAAGTATCTTTTTCTTGCAATTGTTGTAATTTACTTTGTATTTCAATCATCAAATAAAGAAAACTATTGTCTTTTTCTTCATAGTCAAAGTTTTGAATATAATCGTATAATTTGAAAATTTCTTTATTAAATTTATAATTTAAATCTTTGATAAAATTAATCTTGCGGCCGTGAGCAACCGAAGAATTTTCAATGGATTTAAGTAATTTTTGTTGTACGGTAGGCAAAACTAAACGTAAAAAAGAAATCATTTTTAATCAAATTAAAACTTTTTTTACAAATTGAATAATCTCTTGCAATAGTTCAAACAAATTCGTTAAATGTTCATTTTTATGCGATTTAATTTTAATTTCAAAAGCGTTGAGTTTCTTTTGATAAAGTTTGAGTTTATTTTCTTTTTCCGTGTAATCAAAATCAACGATTAATTTCATTTTGGTAATTTCTTCTTTGATTTTTTCCAAAATGAATTTGAGAAAATGAATTTTTTGAAAAGTAAATTTTTCTCAGGCAAAAACATTATTCATGTCCTCTTCTAATTTTTTGACATTTTGCTTAAAGAACTCAAAGCTTTCTAAAACTTTTTGTTGTTCATTTGTTTCGGTTAATCCGGAGGGATTTTTTTGTAAATAAAAATTATGTACAAATTTGGTTAAAATAGCACGAAAATCCTGATGAAATAAGTGATAATATTGTTCATAAAAATAAACAAAAACATCCCGATACTTTTCATTATCAATCGCGACATGGCGAATATTATTTAATTTAGTGAGAAAAAAATCAGACTGAAACATTCGCATTTCTTCAATGATTTTTTCAATTTTTTTAAATCGATTAATTTCAAATCAAAGTTTAATTAATAAAAAGAAAAAACACATCAAAAAGAAAACCGCGACAACAATGAGAGATAACTTGATTAAACGATAACTTTCGGAAACTGAAGTCAATGAAGAAGATGCGGTATTTAAAAAAACCAAGGGAATATTCATAGAAATTATTTTTTATTGTTTAATTTAATTATAGAGCTTAAAGTCTGCTTTTTGCTGAAATTTTATACTTTTTTTTGCTTTTTTTTCGGTATAATTTAATGAATATTGTCATGTCTCGTTATTTAGGTCCGATTCATAAAAAATCCAAACGATGAAATTTTTCTATTTTAGAACATAGCAAAGATTTAAAAAGCAAAAAGAGCGGATACATTCGAAAACGAAGAAAAACCGATTTTGGTCTTCAGTTAGAAGAAAAACAAAAATTACGATTTCGTTATTTTTTACCGGAAAAACAATTGCGAAATACTTTCGTAAAAGTATTAAAAATGAAAGGTGTAAAAAACGATAATTTGTTAATTACAATTGAAAAAAGATTAGACAATATTGTTTATCGTTTAGGACTTGCCAAAACGAGAAAAGAAGCTCGTCAACTAGTCAATCATAATCATATTCTCGTCAATAATCAACGAGCGAACATTCCCTCTATTATTTTGAAAATAGGGGACATCATTATGCTCAAAACCGTTAAATTACAAAATGCAGCCGGCATGAAAGAAAAATTAGAAAATCGAAATAATTTTTCTTTTCTCGTTTTTGATGAAAAAAACTTTAGTGGAAAATTAATCAAAGAGCCTGTTTTAGAAGAAATTAATAGTGAAATTAATACCGGCTTAATTGTTGAATATTACAATCGATTTATTTAAGCGAAAGCAAAAAATATTTATTTTTGCCTTTTTTTAGTAAAACAAAATTTTTAATTGCATCTTTTGATTCTATTTTATAATCCAAATCGGAAATAGTTTGATTTCAAATTTGAATTCCTTTTTGTTCAATTAAACGACGCCCGCGAGAACGAGAATTCACGATTTTTAACTCAATTAAAACATTCACTAATTGATGAGATGATAAATCTTTCAACGAATGAACGGTAAAATGATTGGCTAAATATTTTAAATCCGAAAAAGCTATTTTTTCTCTTAAAAGTAATTGATATTTTGTTCACTTATGAAAAATTTGATTAATGTTTTTGACAATTTGCATAGTTATTTTGCCGTATATTCACTTTCCTAAAAAATTCATTAAAAATTTTTGGGCTGGTCGGGAATGAAAGTCATTAAGTAATTTTTGAAATTCTGTTTGTTTGGTTGTGGGAATAAAAATTTGCCCTCATTGTTTTACATCCGTATCGGACAAATTATAAATGAATTGACAAAAATCATAGGGAGAAATCATATTTTTATCCAATCATAAATTGCTATTTGTGTCTGTTTTGGAGAATTTGTTTCCCGATGTGCGAACCAGTAAATTGGTTGTTAATCCGACTAAAAGAGTAGGAATTGATGTATTTAATTTTTTAATCATATCCAATCCAAAAGCAATATTCGGAAATTGATCACTTCCGCCAATCTGCCCATGACATTTTTTCTCTTTTCATAAATGATAAAAATCATAGGCCTGTAAAAGAATGTAGGAAAATTCTTTAAAAGTTAATCCGTTTTGAGAGTATGTCTTGCGAATGCCTTTTCGTTCCAACATTTTGTTTACAGTAAATAAACCTCCCACTTGATCTAAAAAATTGACGAGAGAAAGATTTTCATATCAACTCGCATTGTTAACGATTTGAACTTGCGGTAATAAAGAGTGAATTTGTTTTTGAATATTAATTAAATTATTTTGTAATTCTTTTTGCGCGATTGTGGTTCGTGTTCGAGTACGAAAACTCGGGTCTCCAATTTGAGAAGTGGCCCCGCCTAAGACAACGATAATCGGACATCCTAATTCAGATAACTCGCGAAGAAGAGTTAACGGAACCAAGTGACCAATATGAAGAGAAAATGAGGTTGGATCAAATCCACAATAAATTGGTAATTTTTGCTCAATTAAAATTTCTAATTTTTTTGTATCCGTGATTTCTTTGATTAATCCTCGTTGTTTTCACGAATGAATAATATTTTGAATGAAAGTCATAGTCATGAAAAAAAAATGGCAGGGATAGCAGGAATCGAACCCACACATGCAGTTTTGAAGACTGCTGTTCTACCTTTAAACTATATCCCTAACTTTTTAGATAAGTTTTTTTTATTCTCTCATTGTTTATTATAAACTATCCTTATCGATTCGTTAAAAGCCAGAAACTATAATATTTTGAGTTGTTTTGAGTTAAAATAATATTCTCCTAATACAAACAATGTCAAAAATTCAAAATCTCATTATTGAATTAAAAGATCTAACTAAAAAATATGGGCAAAAGTTAATTTTTAGTAATATTAACATGAAAATTTATGAAGGAGATCGAATTGCTCTGGTCGGGCGGAATGGAAGCGGAAAAACAACACTGATTGAAATGATTTGTGGATTGCGCAGCATTAGTAGTGGAAAAATAATTTATGCCAATCAAAGGAAATTTTTTCAGGACTTAGGAGTGCAATTTCAGCAAGGTAAATATCCCCATAGTTTACGAGTAAAAGATTTAATTTGACTTTATTTAAATGTTTACAACAAAAAAATGAATTGAACAATTTGACGAGATTTTAAAATTGAAGAAATTCAACATCAATATTTAAACAGTTTATCGATGGGGCAACAAAAAAGATTAGAAATCTTTCTCATTATTGCCACCGGCGTTAAATTTTTAATTCTTGACGAAGTTTGCTCCGGAATGGACATTGAGATTCGATTTTGATTAATTAACTATTTAAAAAAATACTTGCAGAAAAATAAAATTACTTTAATTTATATCAGTCACGATATTGAAGAAGTTTATTCTTTATGCGAACGATTGGTAATGTTGAGTAAAAAAGGATTGTTGACCAATGATAAAATTACTTCGCGAGAACTCTTAATTCAAAAACTTGAAAAAAAAATTCAAGTGCAAATCAGTGAAAATGAAACAAAATAATTTTTTTCCGCAAACAAGTGCCTTTTCGAATTTTTTTTATGTTTTTAGTTTAATTACACGAAGTTATTTCACTGATTATATGTTATTAGCAAGTAATTTTGGAATTCCCATTATTCTTTATGTCGTTCTGATTACCGTACTGCCCAAAGAAATGAGTGCCTCCGGATTGGCCGTAGGAATTGGAATTAGTGGTATTATGTCAACTTCGATTCTCGCTTTTGCGACTTCTTATTTTGAATGATTTCGTTCCATTATCTACAAAAAATTACGTGTTTCTTCGGTCGGAAAAAGTCAGTTTATTTTCAGCTTTTTTATTTTTTATTTATTGACGAGTATTTTAACTTTTTGAGTCTTTGTCAGTTTAGCTTTGCTTTATGAACGAATTTTTACGGAAGAGCCATATATTTTTGTCAATCAAATTCGAAGCATTCGGGCGATAAATTGAATTTGAATTTTTATTGCCAAAATTGAATTAATTAGTATCGGAATTGCAATTGGATATTTAATTGCAAAATTTGTTCCGAGTTTTAGCGGAGTCATGGGTGTTGGATTAATGATTTACTTAATTTTTGCATTCGTGACCGGATGTTTTATTCCCTTGCCTTTAATCGCGGGTAAATCAGCAATTATTAACGGAACAAGTTGATTACCAATTACCGGTCCGGTTCATATGTGACAAAGTGCTTGATTAGAAAACTATGAAATATTAAAAATTGAAATAAATGAAGCTACAGATGAATTCGGTGCTAATTTAACTGAAGAAAAAATATGAAATTTTCGCGCCGGCGAGCAAGCCCAACCGTATACCTGAACACAAATTGGCGGATTTGGAGAAGCAAACGCGGGTTTGAGAATTGCCAGTTACCAAAATCTTTTTCGACAATACGGAGACGAACGATATAACATGATCGTTGATTTAGAAGCCTCAATTAAGGACGATGTTCGCTTATTTTCTACATGAAAAGTAGAACATGGAGAATGATGAGACTCGGTGGAAGAATCGTTTCAAACACGTGAACTTTATCAAATCTTTAGTCCTTTGGGTAATTATTGACAACATTCTTTATTTGGCGGAGCCTGAGCGATGAGTTTAGGAGTGGTTTGTATTTTGACGGATCGATTTTGAAAAACGGAATAAAATTATAAATTCAAAAAGTTTATTGATTGAAAAAAAAATGCCGAAATATAAAAAAAATTCTGGCATTTTGCTAGTTTCCCACTTACGCAGTATTTTCGCCGTAAAGCCGTTTAACTACTCTGTTCGAAAAGGAAAAAGAGGTGGAACCGACTTGCTATCAACACCAGAATTTTTTAGTTTTCAGAAAGGAACTGAAAATATGACAATTAAAAAAAACAAAAAAATTTAAATAATGTCAAATTAATTTTACTAAAAAATGAGAAAAAAAACAAATTTAAATAGTGATTTAAGACTCAAATAAATAAAAATTATTCAAACAATAATTTTAAATTAATAATTTTTCAAAATATAAAAATTACTAAAAATTTTCTTGAGAAATTAAGTTAATAATTCACAAATGAAAAATTTAAATTTAATTTGTTTTTTTTCTTTTAATTCAAAAATATAAACCTCCGCCGATAATTAAAAGTCCTAATATTCCTCCTCCTACACCGGCGGCAATCGGAACAATTAAACGAGAAAGAGGAATGTCAAAAAAACTAAAATTTAAAAAAGTTAGAAAACTCGCGAAAGGCAAATCGACCAAACTATCACTGATTAAATCACCATTTTCATTGAAATTGTTTAATGTAAATTCGTTTGGTAAAACGAATGCAACATTTCTTTTGTTTTGTTTTTTATTGCGAATTGCTTCTCGAACAGACTCATATCGCGGACTTGTATTTCACGTTTCGGTTGTGTTTAAGCGGTGTTTTTCCGTAATCACCGTATCATGATAAATGCGAGGAAATTGACGCATTCAAATTAAAAAATTATTCAAATAACCAATTTGACTCGCGAAATCATCAGCCGGAGTTGTAGATGTTAACAAATCAAGCGAAAGGGAACTTAAGGATCCATCATTCGCAAAAGAATCTAAAACCAAACGACCGGGAAAAGCAAATGCATCGGGATAGTTGTCAGGTTTGGTGGTTAAAAGTTTGTAGTTTGCGATAATTTGTTTGGGAGATAATAAAGAATCCAATGAATTTCATTCCGTTTGCATTTGTTCAAGTTTGCCCGAAATGATTGCTGAAGTATCGCTTAATAAGTTTTCTGGAGCATCTCGCAGCATTCATCCTTCAACTAATTGCAGTGCCAGCAAAGTAGTGGCATCATTTAATGATTCAGCAATTATTTTGAGATCGCCTTCGCTATTAAAATCGGTCATTGATAAAGTAGACGGAAAGAAAAAGGCCGCTGGATAGGCAGTATGATCGTTAGAATTGGCTAAATAAGTTTTCATTGCCAGTCTTTTTGAAATATAAGCCGCTGAATCTCCATTTCAAAGTGCAAACAGATAATTTTTATAACTTAAAATTCAAGAATTACGATGAACAGATGAATTCAATTTTTCTGCTCAACTTTGAAAACTAGCTAATTCGGAGATCGTATCAAATTCGGGTGAATTTAAGGCATATGTGAAAAGTTGGCCATTCGAACGAAAAGCCGAATCAATTTCCTCGAAAGTGCTAATTCCGATGGGTAATCCTAATCGAGATGGATAATCAGATAACTCAATCTTTAATTCTAAATAATCCCGCATTAAAGAAATTTTTTCTGAATTATTCGCCGAATTTCAAGAATTTCAAATTAAGGCTGCATAATCTTTTACGATTTGCTCAATGGAAAAATTGTTCGCTCATTCTAAAAAGGAATGTAATTGCTCAAATGTTTGTCAATGATCGCCGGTGGCGAAATAATTAAAATTACGTTCTCCAGTCACATTCATAATTGCTCCTTGTTCCGGTTGAGAACTGACACCAAATCATTCCATAGTAATTCGTCCATCAGAGTCAATTACCGGTAACAGAGTTGGTCGATTTCCTGAAGCATAAGTGGGAAAAGCGAGACTGCTTCGCTGAGTTGCGTAATTTGGACTTGTATTTCATTCATGTTTAATGGCATCTCGATATTTTTTTCATAAAATAATCTTGTCGGATTCATCATTTGCAGTTGGATATAATTGAAGGTTGAGCATTCATCTTATAAAAGCTCGTAGATTGAATTCCAAACTACTTTCGTGGGACAATCATTGATTGATGTCTAAATCTCCATTCTCATCAAAGTCGGTTCATGTGATCGGTACTGGTGCTGATTCCGTCCTCCTTATATGCGGAAAATCTAATGAAACATCTGAACTCGATGAGGGTCAATCAAGAGATTTTGCTTTTTGCACAACTAAGGGATAAATATGACGAGACTCGGTTTCTGATTCCGGTCGTTCATTTCAATAAGTATGAAGTCAAGTTTTAAGTTCTTTAAGTCGTTCTATTTTTGGATTAGGATAAAAAATATTACCAATCAAAGCGGATAATTTAGTACTAAAAGTTTGTGTCTTGGCGACGGTATTCAAAACCGAATTAAGATCTTGATCATATGATAAGGTTCCATCTGGACGAGCCAAGAAATAAGAATAAGATAGAGAATTATCTAAAAAAACGAAAAAATCAGGTACATCAGGCAATCGAAAAATATTTATATATGTTAATCATCAATTTTGGCCTTGCAGATTACTATTTCATAGCCTTATGCTTATGGAAATATTCATATTAATTGTCAGTTGATCTGTATTGAAATTTCTACCTCATTCTCGAAAAGCTTTGGCATCATTCAAATTGACATTGGAACTTCAAGAATTTCATTGGTTTGTATCAGAAGGATTTTGTAGTTGTCCAAGATTATTAAAAAATTCAATAGCTAAACCGGTGGGAAAGGAATAACTAAATTCCCAGTTTTCATAATTATTGACATATGTGCTCATGGCGGCTCGCTTATTTACGTAGTCCGGAGAATTGTTTCATTCATCCAAT